CACAAATTTATGTAAACTCACCATTGATATGCGTCAAACTATTGATGTTTTAGTTCTCGTTACTCTATTTTTGTTTGCTGTTTACTTCTGTTCAGTCTATTTTGACTTATTGTGGCCATTGAATCTTGTTATTTGCTGTTCAGCTTATATTGATGTGGCACTTATTATTTACTGTGTTTACCTGACTATAGTATCAGGGTTTTTGAGTTCTGTTGATCTTTCTTCAGTTAATGTTTCAGTTGATATTGAGTTCCATCTGTCACCTTTCATTTATTTAAGCCAAGAATCAGTGCCTTTGAATTTTGTTAATGATTCAGTTGAAATTGAGTTTCCTTTGTTATTATTCATTTATCCGAACCAAGAATCAGTGTTTTTGATGTTTGTTAACACTTTTTCAATTGACACTGAGTTGTTTTTGTTATTTACTATCAATCTGAGCCTGAGTATAAGGCCGTCGCTTTCATTATCATGCCATTTGAATTGTGTTTATCTATACTCAGTTCATTTTGAACTATTATTATTTATAATTTATTCAGTTTGTATGAGTACTAGTACTCGACCTTTGCTCCCTGTTTGCATTAGTTCTATTATCAGTTATTTTGTTTGCTTTAGCATTGTGTTAATGTTATATATTTCATTATCTATTGTTCCCTTAGTTTATTCTTCTTATAGATTATCATCCACATCAACGAGTATCCAGTGCCCCGATGGCGTCTCCCAGCTTCTCTCTCCGAGACTTTTCTTCTCCCAGAAAACATGACCAAGGTAGAATGTCGTATTGGTAGTTATAATTGTAACGGACTGGGGAATTTCTATAAACGTAGAGGACTTTTCACTTGGTTAAGAGATAAACCGCACCATATTTACTGGATTCAAGAGACACATTCCACGGCTAAGGATGAAACCACATGGAAGAACGAATGGGGGGGCCAAATTTATTTTTCTCATGGGACATCAAGTCAGAGGGGGGTAGCTATTCTGATAAAAAGCAACTCCTGCTCTCAGATTCATCAGATAAAAACTGATGAAAGTGGGAGGTGGGTAATTCTTG